AATTCTCTGAAATACCATGGCCGATACTGTAAACATGATTTGCCAGTTAGTTATTTATGATATGTAAGTCTATGTATATGATATGTATTCTATTTTCAAAGATAGAAACAATGACATTTATGTCTTTATCATTGCCTCCAAATGTTTTCACACCACATATAGGTTACAGATTATTGATTTACTTTTTCTTTCTTTAGATATCCCAAAATATGATATTAGAAAAAAAGGCCAGGCTATTATCATAAATAACCACACATTCCACAATACAAAGCACAATAGATATGGCACAGAAATTGACGGCAGTAAGTAATGCAGAACATGCAATTTTGTTATTCTCTCAAATCTTATATATCATGAAATGTTCGGATGAATAGTCAGAAAGAGGAGGAGATATTGAATGGAACCCGACTGACCGACAGTTTGTTCATTTCATTCTATTCTGTCACTCCTCTCTTCATTTCTTTGTTCGTCTGTTTGATTAAAATTGCTTGGCTTGGCGGACAATGTCAACAGTGGAGCAAATACTACAGTGTATCATCTCTAGTTTGGAGTATTATTTTTTTGAAATTAAAAACATTGTATATGTAATCAATCTTATAACAAAGATTTAAGAAAATTCAGTGACAAAAAAACACCATGGCTACCATCAAAGTAAACGATAATGTTTTAAAAACTTGACATTCATTCATTGCAGTCACTTTGTTGTAACACCACATCTTTAAAGTAATTATCAGAGACAAATGAAAATGTTTTCCTATATTTCAGGATTAGCCACAACTATTAACTGATAGAATAGAATGATGATTTTATAAAATTTTGTATTTTTTTTCAGAGAAGTTGGAGCAATTATTTCAAAGAAAGGGATTCAAAGTACATGTGTTCAATGACCTGACTGGCCATCAAATGTATGGTGCAATTCGAGACATAAGTAGTCAAGACCACAGCAAAGCAGATTGTATCATAGTGTGTATTCTATCACATGGTGAAGAAGGCGTAGTGTGTGGGGTTGATGGGAACCGTGTCATTGTAAAGGATCTCACCAGTCATTTCAATGCAATTGCATGTCCAAGTCTAATGGGAAAACCTAAATTATTTTTCATTCAGGCATGTCAGGGGTCATACAAAATGGCAGCAGTTGCTGATGCTCAATATGATGCAGTGACTGATGCTAAATCTAGCATTACAGCCAATGAGGCTGATTTTTGTATCGGGTATTCCACTACACCGGGGCATGTGTCATGGAGAACTAAAACTGAGGGGTCTTGGTATATCAGTATCTTAGTTGAAAATATTGAAAAATATTCAGAAAGAGAAGATCTTCAGTCGATTTTATCTCGTGTCAATAACCAGGTTCAAAAGAAGTTATTCCAACCAGGTAGAAGAGATGGTTCATTTGTTCCTGGATTTGTTACTCAGTGTACCGCATTCCACAGTACATTGGGTAAAAAATTGTATCTGTAATGATGTGATTGAAATACATTTATCAACTATAAGACATAGTTATATCAAATTTCGACAAATTAGTGAAAGATCATTGCAGCTATAGTTTATATTGTTTAAGTACTACTGATAATGTGTACAATGATTTATTCATTAGGTTAATTATCTTAAGTGAAACATATC